CTGCAGCCTTATCTGTGTTTTATAACATACAGATATTTTCTTGCATGTCCCTCTCTCCTTAAGTTGCCATTGCTGCAAATGGATTGCAGCTGGCCGGTGCCGGCGCTGATGGAGTGCAAGGCCTGCAGACTTTAACCATGACAAATGCTGGCGGGACTCAGCCTGGCACAACAATCCTGCAGTATGCACAGACATCAGATGGCCAGCAGATACTCGTGCCCAGCAACCAGGTGGTAGTGCAGAGTGAGTATGGGATCGGTTACAAGTGCTGATCAGTAACACAGGTGTGTTTCTTGGTAACGCTGCCACGTTTTGACGTGTTGTGCTGTGACCACCACAGCTGCATCAGGGGACATGCAGACCTACCAGATCCGCACCACGCCGACCACCACGTCCCTCCCCCAGACCGTGGTCATGACATCTCCTGTCACCCTGACGTCACAGTCCAGTAAGACAGACGATCCGCAGCTGAAACGAGAGATAAGGCTGATGAAGAACAGGTATGTGAGTGCATTGTGCTGAGATCACAGAATGTCAGGGGTTGGAAGGGAGCTTGAAGGATCATCCAGCCCTGCTGCTGGAGCAGAAACACCCAGACCAGGTCAGACAGGAGTGCATCCAGGCGGGTTCTGAATGTCTCCACAGAAGGAGACCCCACGGCCTCCCTGGGCAGTGCTGTTCAGTGCTCTGTTAGCCTCACCATGACCTTTTTTCTCATGTTTTTGTGGAACCTCCTATGTTCCAGCTCGCACCCGTTGCCCCTTATCATTGGATGTCACTGAGAAGAGCCTGGCTCCATCCTCCTGGCACTCATCCTTTACGTATTTATAAACGTTAATGAAGTCACCCATCAATCTCCTCAAAGCTAAAGAGACCCAGCTCCCTCAGCCTTTCCTTCTCGGGGTAGATGTGTCTTCAGAGGACAGGGGTCATTCATGTAGGCTAACACTGCTGCCACCGGTGTGATGTGCTGCAAACAGTGACCAAAAATTGGAAGTTTTGATCAAAATGTGCCTTGTGCTCTGTGTGTCCCACACCATCGGAGGAAAACAGTTTTTTCCCTGCAGATTGATAGGTGTTACCAGGTGCTGCTCAATGTCACGCTTTCCACCTGTGGTGGTGCAGCTTTCCATTCGTTTTGTTCATGATTTCAGTTCTCTCTTCGTGTTGGTCAGTATTGTAACGCTGCAAAAGAGACAAATCTCAGGTAAACAACAGGGACTTCTGTTCTGTGTTGCAGAGAAGCTGCTCGAGAGTGCCGTAGGAAGAAGAAGGAATATGTGAAATGTCTGGAGAACCGAGTTGCAGTCCTGGAAAACCAGAACAAAACTCTAATTGAAGAGCTAAAAACTTTGAAAGATCTTTACTGTCATAAAAGCGTGTAAGAAAAGGAGGTAAAACTTTGGTGGACTGTTGAAATTTCAGAGAATTTTTTTTTTTTATTTTATACTGAATTTTTTAACTAGATGAAAGGTCAAAAGTGAAACTTTTCTACCTAGATTTCACAACCTAAGGACTGTATAGATTTTATTTACAACGTGTTGGTGACAAAGTACAAAAAGGAGACGAGAAAACCTCACCACAATTCCTGCTGGCACAACTGGAAACTTTATATACAGTCAAGATTGCATCTACAACAAAAGGATTTTGGTGTTTTACCAGGCAGGTGATCAGAATTTCTCTGGCAGTTTTTACCTCTTGTCATGGGGACAATATTTGGTTTCAATTAAAACGTGGATGGAATGGAATCCTTGCCATAGTTAACATTGTTAGTAACATTTATAACCAGTGTATGTTTTGATTTCTTAACTCTTTCAATCCTTGCTCTTCCTTTCAGTTATCTGTATGTAAATATTTTAATTTGAACCTGTAAGTTGCTCTTTACAGGTGCAGGTGATAAGAAGCTAATCCTGTGCTCGAGGCGTAAATTATGTTTCCTCTTTTTCAGCTGACAGTTTTACAGGTTTTTCTTTTTGTTTTTGTTTTTCCTTCAATGTTTGCTGTGTTTATCAAATTAGGAAAGGATCTGCAGAAAGCAGCAGGAGGAGCAGCCCTGAAGATGCCTGGGTGCACGGATTGGTGTTGACTTCAGAGAGCTCAACACGTGCAATTGTCTTTAAAGCACAGTTTGGTAGAATGAGGAACGGGGCACAGAAGTTGGATGATTTCACAATGGTTTGTTTTTAATTGCTGGGCACAACAGGCGTCTATAATGGAACAAGAAATGGCGTGCTGATATCTATACAATGAAATATGCACTGTTTATTCTGTCTGGAGATTCTGCTGTGCTTTGGGACGTAAACCAAATAGAAGTAGGATGAAGCAGAGAACAGAAGAAAATACCAAAGGGTTTCATGAGGTTCCGTGGTTTGTATGCTGAAAGTGGTGCGAAACTTCTGGACTAATTTTGTAAAGTAGGTGATATTTTGCAAAGTCATGGTATCTTTGTAAGAAAATACTCTATTGCAAACAGGTAGACGGTCGGTATATTTTGTAGCTGAATTGTGATCTTCACAAGTTCCGAAAATTAAGTTTATATACGTATTTTGACAGTTTATATATTTCATTTTAGTAAACAAATGGAATATTTTGTGAACCAGATTTTCAAGCGTATATTTTTATGGATAGCACAAAGTCAAATGAGATCCTCTTTGGTGTAGGAGATATTTGAATTAATTTTATATGTCTGTAGGCAACTTACAGAAGAAATGGGTGTCGGGGGAAAAAAAGGAATCGGGGCTTTTTTCCCTACAGCTGATAATATCTGCACATCAGATCTGATTGCTCTCACAGATGCTGGTCGGTATCACTTTGATTTGTTTCAGGCAGGCGTTGTGTTTGATGTGACCAGGGCTCTTTCTGGGTGTTAAAATCCACGTGGGGCAGCGCTGGGAGTCCTCCTGACCCCCAGAGCTCCCTCCAAGCTCAGCTGTTCCGCCGTTCCATGACACAGACCAACGCGTGCGCAGCGCTTCCTGCATGATGAATCAATGCACTGTTCTCCATAGTTAGGGTCGGATCCTGCTTCCAGATCTGTCAGCAGGAGTTGCACTATGGGCTGCGCTGTGCAGAAGGCGTTAGAGCTCCGTGTGTGCGCTGTGCTAGCTCGGACCTGAGTGAAGCTAGGAGATGTGCTCATCCCCGGATGTGTACTGCTTTCCCTGTGGTCAGTTTTTCTTTTACTCATTTTGAACTCATGGGTTTCTGAGCAAGCAGAGCTCCTGCACGTGCTGTGAGAGTCTGCGCTCCACAGTCCCACTGTTAGCAGGCTGTAGAAACACTTTTGTTCCAGACTTTCTGGATAGAACGCGTCCATCATCCACAACACATTTCCTTTAGGCCAGACTGGAGCGTACGCTCGTGTTCTCAGTCATGTCAGACACAAAAAGACACTTTTGTTGCACATCAGCCGTAACGAGCAATGCTGAGAAAGCCATTAGATGAGTAAATTGCTCCTGGGGAGTGCTCAGCACCTCCAAAATTGGACTGTCACTGTCTGCCATCAGTGTGTGTGCGTTCAGAGGGACTGATCTGCAGTGCTGGGACTGGTGTGACAGCTCCTCTGTGCAGAATCCTCATCCTCACTGCGTGCTGTCGTTCCTTTACTTTCTTTTGTAATACGGAATCATCATAATAACAGAAGTCATCACATGTTAAGACTGTACAAAAAAAAAATGGTGGCCAATTCTTTCTGTATTTCAGCAAGTGGAGCAAATACGGAGTGCTGCCAGGCATAAGGTTAGGCAGTGCTTATCCTCTTTTGGAAAGAGCAGCTGGATTTTTCATCATGGAGGTATTCACCAGCAACATGGGTTTGCTCTTTAAGTAATCACTCATCACAAAGTACTGATTTTGGATTTACTTCATAGAGAACGAAATTTGTATCCTGAGAGGTGTAGTACCAAACTGCTCTGCTGTTTTGTTCCAAACCAACGTATGTGCTTCATATGAACTGTAAATATCTGTCAAAACAATTAGATGGTTGCAGATTTTGACCTTGGTAAATAAAGTCGCCTAAAGATAACTCTGATGTTCCTTATTTCTTGTCCAACTTGCTTTTAATTGACCCAGGACTGCAGCAGCTCTGAACATCTGTTTCTGATGGGGTCAGAAAGCAGTGTGTGATGGTGGAGCAACACCAGCGAACTCTTCCCACGTGTGTCCTCCCAGCAGTGCTGTGCTGTCTGCAGTCCTTGGAGGAGAGCACCTTTGGTCCTTGTGCAGGTATTTGTTTCAGTTCAGCCTCTGGTAACTGAAACCATTGCGTGTTCTGCTGACAGTCACCCAGCAGAGGGAGCGTCTGTGCCATGCACAGAGCCGTGCTGGGATTCCATAGTCCCTGCGTTTCTGGTAGGGAAAAACGCTTGCAGCTGGTGCAGTTCCTACACTCATTTTCGTTATTAGGGTCGAGGTCGTTACCACTTCTCCTATCAGTACAGATATCAAAGGCAGAAAAGATGGTAAATGCATTGCACACATTTGGGAGCACTGGGCAGTGTTTTTAATGTCATATTCCACGCTTTTAGGATTGCTCTCATCAACCTAAAACTCTCACATTTGCAGTCTCCATGCAGGTCCATGGGAGAAGCTTTTCACAAGAGAAAGCCACCGATTTCTCTCAAGGAAATTTTGTTCTGTTGTAAGAATGTCAAGATAGTCAGTGAGACACATCAGCATTCCTTTAAGTGAGGGTAGAACACGCTGCATCAGGTGGTGAGATGTTAAATTACTGCTTCCTTCTGACAAACAGACACTTGATAATCACGTTATCTTCGTGGTGTCATCATTGTGACATACGCTAATGAGTTTTAATGTAATGAATTCATGTAACCTCAGAAAAGATAGGAGGTTATCACAGTCTGAAACCTCACATCCTTAAAAAATACCTCTGGATGCCTGTATTCACTGTTGTTACCCTGCTGTAGTTCCTACATTGACAAGAAATGACACAAGTGCAGATTTTTTTTTTAAGTGTTGCTGACACGTGCAGGTTGGATGCACACAACGTTTTATTGCTCCAGGACCCCTTGTGGAACATGAGCTGAACGGACCGGCCCAGCTGTGCTGTGCTGATGCTGCTTTAGGAGGTGTACAGGAGCACCATCCCCATGGCAGTCAGGGGGAGGGCGCTGCTGGCAGGAGCTGTGGCTGAGCTGCTCAGCACAAGCTGGGATTTGATCCACCTTCTGTATGGAGCCAATCGGACGTAGATCCCGGGGAATCTGGGATGGCCGCAGCCGAGCCCAAAGCTGGTGATGCCCAGCACGTAGTATTTGTTGGCCATGGGGTGGCGGCACGCCAAAGCCCCTCCACTGTCTCCCTATAAATACACAATAACAGAAATTAGTGACTATATTCCCCTCCAGGAAACGATTTAGAAGCACCGCTAATGAATCCACTGATCTTAATGAGCAATTGGGAGCAGCACGGAGCTGAGTAGGGTCAGAAACGCTCTCTGACTTTGCATTCTGAGTCCTGTCCACGCAGCTTTGCTCCTTGTGCAGAAGACACATTCTGACAACGTATGTCTGCAATAACCAGGAAGCACAGCGATGAAAACACAGCCTGAATCTGTGCCAAATCACTTGCTTAGAGAAAAAGAGCTGAGGGAAGCAGGAAGTCTATCAGACTAATGACACACTTAGGAATGCATTGTTTTTTAATTATAAATGGCTCCGCATCGCAGCTGATGCCTCAATTTTAGCACAGGGCTCCTGACCTGAGAACTGTTGCTTCTGAGAAAGAGACGCTGAGGGCTCAGCATTTAAATGCAGCTCCTGCTGCTGAGCACCCGGTGCTGGTGCTGCCTTTCCAAAGCACGAAACCACGCAGGGTGCATCGTGGTGCACACTGCATGCATCCGTTGTGTGCGCACACGTGTTTCATTGTGCATCATCTCTGTGCCACGATGTGACACCTGCACACCGCGGTGCTGCTCCTCCTGTTAGCCCAGCCTTTCCTACAGCTGAGCTCTTTGTGCACACTTCTGAGATGCGGGGGTTTTTTTGGAAACGCCGTTTCACCTCTCTTTCTGTTTGTGATGCCTCTTTTCCAGTCGGATCTATTTTCATTCTAGCATTTGGGCCGTTTTAATTAACGATGCTATGAACAGTGGTCACCAGGATGCCCTCCATGGTTTCTATGGGGGGAGGATTTTACCTGGCAAGAATCAACGCCTCCTAATGGAGAGCCAGCACAGATCATGTTGGCGTTGATCAGACCTCCGTATGCATCAGAGCTGTTGCAGACACCAAAAGGAATGATTTCCACTTCTGCCTCTTGCAGCACAGACGAGATTTTGCCTTTAGCGGAAGACAGCAGATAGAAAAGTCAGGCATTGCTGCTGCTGTGTGCAGCAGTTCTCGCTGTGGTGTCCTGCTTTGTTAGCTTAAAGGAACCTGTGTACAGCTCAGACATGTGCTAGCATAGAGGTCTGCCTTCCCATGGCACAGTGCGGCTCGTTGGCCTTGCTGGAAATGCCACGGGTTCTGTTCCAGTGATGACACACAGCCTTCAGCTCTCCTCCAAACCCCCCCTCTGCGCACGGTGCCAGCTGGGGTTGCATCACCTGCACTCATTGTGGTGAAAGAGCAGCCGCACCTGAAACCAACTGGGACCTTTGAGCTGAGAGGGCGCTTTGTGAGAGCTGTTCTTTTTCGAGACAAAAGCTCTTTTAGAAGAGCTCTTTTACAAGTGCTCTTAAGCGTATTGTGACCCTGAAAGCTGTGTTTCTTTCCCTTTATTTGCTTGATCCTCAGTAGGAAGGTCACGCATTGATGCTTTCAGTTACACCTGGGCAGCCTTAATCTGCTTTCAATGGCAAAAGCACCGAGAGCAGATCGTCAGCTGCAGAAGGATGAAATGATGCTATGGTGCGAGAGCACAACCCGAGCAAACGCAGAGAACCTGAGGGACTGAAACCTCACCTCAGCACCGGAGCTGATGGTGTATCAACAAACGTTTACCTTTTTCTGCTGTGCGTCCCCAGCCACTGATAAAACACTTTGTTTCATTGTCAGGGTACAGCTGAGGGTGTGCAGGAGGTAAGCAGATGGGTTGGATGTAATCGCTGTAGCGCACAGCAGAATGAAGTTTAAATAACGCGATGTCGTTTTCAAATGTCTCTCTGTTGAATTCGGGGTGCACGGAGATTTGAGTGATGCTTCTTTTTGCTGCATGTCTGCTGTGTTTCCAAAGGCTATCTGTGCCCAGCACAGCTCTCCAATAATACGGGTCCCTAAGGGAGAACGCAGTCAGCATGAGCTTGCAAAAACTTCTGTGTAGATTTTGCAACTGTGTTAACGACTACGGTGTTGGGATGGCCAAAAGGCAGCTTCGAGTGCGCTTTAAAAGCCTCTTCTAAAAGGTTTGTGCCCTTTTGTCAAAGAAAAGGAGTTGTGTCGAATTCATTGTTTGTTAAGCAGGAAGAAAGAAGTGGGAATGGAACTTGGGAAAAGCAGTGGAGCACTACAGAGTTGTTGTGCTTCTCAGCTGAGCACTACAACGTTTTGGTTTTTTTTTTCAGTGAGCTTTGCTTGTTTAGATAGGTCAATTTAACCTCTGCTTTGCTTATTTAGAAAGGGCTACTGAAAAACCAAAAGCTCATGGGGAAAAAAAAATAGGCAAAGTGAAAAGAAAGCCCCCAACCCAACAGAGATGTAACCTGGGCCCAAAGGGATGGAGCTGAGCAGTGTGTTCCCAAGATTCAGTGCCACCCGCGGGGCCGCAGATGGGTTCTGCATCAGCTGATCTCTGCCCACCCCACGTCCCATTCGTTGGCACTTTGTTTAAAGGCGCCCACGGTAACGATCTGCAGATCTGCAACCTTCCCTCTCCACAACAGAGCAGCTGTCAGCACTGATACCCACATCCGTCCCGTCGTGCAATGACCGGCGGTGAGCACGGAGTTCTCGCTGACCAAAGCTCCTCCGCACACGTGGGCAAATTCCACCCCCACGAGGTGCACCTGCAGGCTGACGGCCCACGGCCAGGCTCCCAATGGGGCTTCGTGGCCTCCCACAATCCTGGATCCCGAGCTGCCGTCCATCAGCGGCCGCCGTCCGCACTCTGCAGAACAGAACGAAGTCGGTTGTGGGGCTCGAATGCAGCCTTTGGTGCATTGGCTGCAGTGTTTGCTGGCGGTGCTGGTGGTGTTTTTTCCCATCTGCTGTGTTACTTGCTGTGTTTTTTTTTTTAATGTTTGAAGTTGGAGTGCTGATTCTGGAGAGAAAACGTGGGTGTTTTATTCTGCATGAAACGCATTTTACCTGGTTGCAGGCGTATTTCTTGCGTTCAGGTTCACTGTGCACATCAGCGAGGGTGCCCCAGCCACTGCAGCTTTGTGAATTCATCAAATTTGGGGACAGACAAAGTTTTTACATGGAGCTTGGTGTGGAAGCTGCGCAGCAATAGGCCCAGCCCCCCTCCCACCGCCTCCCAGTGCTCCCCCAAACCACCCATTGGCCACCTCCATCCCATCAATACCAACAAGGACCTCCATGGACATCCACAGTCCCACCATAGCAGGCATGGTGCTGCTCAGGACCCACAGCAGCAGCACCGAGGAGGTGGGCAGCCGGGGCCGCATCCTCCTTCAGGGGCACAAGATGGCGGCAGGGCCACCAACGGTCACCAACAGCTTCTGATGACCATTAATGGGGCTGAGGGACCCATAGGACACCTTAAAGAAATCCCTGAGCGTGTCAAGCACAGGGCTTTTAATGGTCTGCTGGCAAGTTGTGTTATAACTGAAGGCCACGCAAGGGCAGGCAGGCAGCCAAGCAACCAGAGTGGCAATGGGTGTTACCCTCCCAGCGTTCTTTCTTTGCAAATAAGTAACTCTCTGTTGAGCAAAGATTGTGTGTCAGAGGTTCTGCGTTGGTTTGATAAGGGCAGAGAGCCTTCAAAGTGCGGGGAGAGGGACGTGGATGCCAGTGGAGCCCTCAGCATGGGCCTGGCGCCTCGGTGGGGAGCTGGGGGCACCCGCAGGTGCAGATAGAGGGGTTCACATCTTTGTTTTGTCTGTCAAGCTTTGCTGTTCTGCTTTTTTGGCGGTGTGGGGGTCCCACCCTGCCCACGTATTTGGGGACAGTATTGTTGGTAGGTGGGTGGTTGGAGCGGATACCTCAGAGATCTTTTCCAACCTTAAAACTCTGTTGGTTGTGTATGGTTCTAAAGCCTTTCTTGCACACCCAGCGAAGCACTTTTAGCTTAGAAATATTCACAAAACTGACCCTCCTCCTCCATTTCACGTCTGAATCAAACATTTATTAAGGTCTTCAACCACGCTGCTTACGTTCATTGGCAAGGATTAGTTGATGCTCTTTGATCACGCCCAGGAGCTGTGGAGGTGAGCAGCACGAAGCGCTCCCCGTCATTTCACTGCATACCCGATGATGTGCGGCTTAATGGGAGTCCAGGGCAGCGGCACGCTGATGTGCTGCAGTTTCAGCTCCGAGAAGTTGGCCTCTTCCAGATCCTTCCATATCTCCCTGGCCAGGCAGCAGCCGTCAAACACGAGTTTCCACGTCGGGTGGCAAACCTGCTGCCAGAACAGCTTCCAGCTGGAAGGGCTCGCGGCCACGTGCTCCAAGAAATAGAAAACGCCTCCCTGGGGATTGGACACAGCTCAGTGCCATAGGAACACACGCTGCCCTCCCCGCTGCTCAGCGCCCATCACCCTCACCTCACTGCATCATCCAGTGCCCATCACCCAGCTCCCTCACCTCACTGCATTCTCCCTCCCCTCCCTTTGCTTTTCTGATGTTGACTGGAATTGACCTCAGCACAGACTCAAAGTGCATATTTCAGAAGCGTGAAGGATGTCCCTGTTTGGTCCCTCCTTGATTGCAGCAATAGTTTGTTGCCTTTTTGTTTGCACTACAGTTGCTAACGTGCTGTTTTGTTTCAATGCAGACTGAGAGGAATGTGTAAGTCCCAACAAAACTCATTGGATTTTTGGTGTTGGCTTGGGAATATAGCATTTTAATGGCTGAAATCCTATTGCGAAACAAAACAAAAACAGAACAACAACAACAAAAAAACCCCAACAAAATCAAAACATTAACCCAGCTTTCCCTTTTTAGTTTTATTTTTTGGCTGTCACATTTCCATTGCTTTGCACCACCCAGCGGTGCAGAGTGCCTCTCACTCTTATCTTATAAACCGGGTCTGGGTTGTAGTCTCAAAAACAAAAACTTTCTTTTTTTTTTCTTCTTCTTTTTTTCCTTTTTTTTTTTCTTCTTTTTCCTTTCCTTCTTTTTCCCTTTCTTTTTCCCTTTCTTTTTCCCTTTCTTTTTCCCTTTCTTTTTCCCTTCCTTTTTCGCTTCCTTTTTCCCTTTCCCCTCCTTTTCCCCTTTTCCTCTTTTTCCCTTTTCCTCTCTTTTTTTTCCCCCTTGTGCACTGCCTCTGCAATAGCTGCTCACAGCAATAACCTAAAACTTCTCCTCCAAGCACTCACCGGTCTGAGCACGCGCTGCACTTCCTTCAGGGTTTTGCTCACACTCTGCACTGAGCAGAGGACCAAAGTGCAGACAACAGCATCCACGGAGCCGCTGGGCACCTGGTGCAGGTCCTCCCCGGCCGCCGTGAGGAAGCGCTCGTAGTGGATGTGCTGATTCTTGCTCATGCTCCTCGAAAGGCCCTGCTGGAAGTTGGGGTTCACATCACTGCAGGTGACTTTGCAGCCCGGAGGGTAGAACTGGAAGTTGGCTCCGCATCCTGTGCCGATTTCCAGCAGCTTCAGTTCTCCCGACGGTCCGGTGAATTGGGGCAGATTTCGGAATAATTCCTGCTTCTGCTTCTTGGTTTTCCTGTTGTGGATCACAGTCAGCTTCTCTAAGAAGAAAGGGAAAAAGATCTTCTTGCAGAACGGCTCCCATATGCCCAGGAAGGACAGCAGGTAGATGGGCATGGCCAGCAGTGCCAGGCAGGAGCGGAGGAAGAGGATGGTGAGCTCCATCATGGGCAGCGAGTCCAAATGCAGCAAAACTGGCTCTGCTGCGTGTCACAGCCCCGCAGGCTCAGGCAGAGCTGCACTGAAGCGTCCCCAGCTCGCTGCCTTGCGGGCCCAGCAGCGGAATTTGAAGTCCTCTCACACACAGGAAGGGGAAAACCAGAACTGTGTAACCAAAGTTACAGCTGCGTCCCAGCTCTGGAGCTGCCAGCAATGTTAAGTAACCCCGGCCAGTTGGGCAGCACAACCTCGTGCTTCAGTGCTGGCAAAGTGTCAGCAAGTGCCCAAATGTGGAGTTTGCAGTTTCAGGTTACATCTCTCAAAGCAGAACAGCGCTGTGTTTGTGAGCACAAGGAAGTCGGCTTGAGTTCTGGGTTTGTTGTAGACGTTTAATTGGGAGTTTGATGAATACTGCAGCTGAAGCACATTTATTTGTCATTTCCTGCCCCATTGCAGATGGGATCAACCCCTCTGCTGCCTGAACTGAGCTCTCACAGCAGCAGTTTTCAGTATTTGGGCACCAAAACTTCTTCATTGCACAAACGGGCTCCCTTGCAGGGAATGGTTTTGCTTTTCTTGTTACCTTTGGTGGGAGTCATGGACCAGAGAGGAAACAACTTATTGAGTCATTAATCACTGCACAAAGTGTGCAGCTCGGTTTTACTGACTGTATCAGCTTCAGTCAACAACTAATAATCTATTTGATACTAATTGCAGTCTGTCAAACTTTTCCAGCGTTGCAATCAGCAGCACTGGGTGCAGCGTGGATTAACTGCTGGCTTTTAATTGCTTTGGTTCAGGTGACCCAACTGCAGGGAAAGGACTGCAGGTCCCGAATTCCACCCGTTCCATTGCAGGCCAGGAGAGAGAACTTTGTTTTTGCGCCGGCAGCCCTGCTGTCCGATGAGTTCCCTCCTCCCTCTAGTGGCAACAAAGCAAAACCCAAACCCAGCACACGGCGCTGTCATCGTCAGAGCGCTGTATGAATAACCTCTGTTGTTGCCCCTTCACACCTCGTGGCGTCTGAGCAATGGCAAGTCCTTTGGATGCATGTTCTGTGCAGACTGATGGAGTCAACCAACACCAACCCTCTCCCGAGGTGAGGGGAAGTCCATCTCTCTGGTGCACAGGTTGCTGGTTTGGGTTCTGTCTGAGCTGACAGCATTGGCATCGTATGGCTGGAGAGAACCAGGCACAGAACTGCTGCATTTCCCCAGATAAACTGAATTCCCTGAGTCAGGGAGGAATTGTGCCGCCAGCGGGGAATGAATGGGAAGACAGAAATCAAAATACTTGCACTGATGCTGTATCTATTATGTATGGGAACATCAAAGGTTGGGTGTTACTCTCTGCCATTAGGAAATCATTAGCTCTCTGCACTTGCTTGCATGTATTTCCTGTTCCCTTTCTTCCATCTCTCCCTTCTTATCTCACTAAAGTGCACAATCCTCCTTTGCTTAAGATGTTTTCTCTCTTCTTTCCTGGTTTTTGTGCAACAGCTCTAAGAGTTCTACCCAGAAAGCCAATCCCACAAAAGGAGAGCATTATTTGCTCTGAATGAGCTGTGGATGCTCCCTCAGGTTTCCATGCTGCTGTTCTGCAACTCAACCTCCTTTCCTAGAAGCCACACATGCAAGGTTTGTATTTGCTTTGGACTTTGTCATCTCTGTGGCTGCCTCCCATTCGGTTTTCACTGAGGGAGGTAATCATCAGACTTTTTTTATCCCTCATTTCCTTAGTTTTATTTTCACTTATTTTGCATGTCTGGGAATTCAGACCCTGAGGGAGAACCTCAGCACTGCAAGGAGGTACGGTTGGAACCAAAACCGTCTCGAAATCAGCAGCTCTGTGCAAACACAGATTGGATGTGTGTGTCGAGACGCGTTATGGATGGGGAGGTGGACATTTATGAGGCTGTGCCTGCCCTGCTGTCGCACTGAGGCAGTCCCATAAAAGCCAGCGATGTAAAATGAGGGCAGATCAGCTCCTGTGTGGTAACCAAAGTGAGATGAACGCGTCCTGCTGCCTTGTCAGCTCAGCACACCGCTCCTGGAGCGCCGCTCAGAGGGCAGAGATTCGCAGCTTTATGGAGGGGGCATTTCCAACGAGGTGGATTTCTCCTAAAGCAGCAGCCCAACCCAAAAAGCTGCGCTATTTGCAACGCAGACACGGTGCTATGGAGAACAAGAACGACGCAGCTGTAAAAATTGATCCTCAAATTCCATTCATAGGTACCCGCGGTTGTTGGTCACCGGACTGAGCCTTCCCTTGGCCATTGCTTGGTGGTTGTACTGGGAGGGAAGGCGTTGGGAGCAGCGAGCTGGCCACTGAAGCAAGCAGCATTAACATGCAGTCCATCACAGTGCAAAAAGTGGGGGTTTTCAGTGGAAACTCCATCTTCCCCCAGGTCAGCTAACAGAGACTGGGAAGAGTAAATGGAATTTTAGGTGCCACATTCTGCACACGGCTCTCTGTGCAGGTCTTGTGCCTCCAAATTGTCTTCCAATTTTTGACTGATTGAAGATATTTCTCCCCTGAATCTGTGCTCTGATTACACCAACACGTTTCTTCCCAAAGTGACAGCGAGCAAATCCTGTGCTGAGTGTGTTGCAGCAACACAGAGGAGCAGAGGTGTCCAGCCCTCAACCAACATCCACTGCTTCAGCTTTGCCTCTGCTTCCATTGCCTTTCCTCACTTCTCTTTTTGTTTTCCTCCAAATAAATTTTGCTCTTTCTGCCGCTTCAGAGCTCTGTTCACATCCCAGTTCTGCTCAGTGAGACGCAGTGCTGCCCATAGCTGCCGTCCCCTCTTAACCCAAACAACTCCAGCCCTGGAGCCAGCTTCCATTCGTGCACCTCCAAGCAGCTGATGGCTGTGCAGGTCCAGGGCTGAGATCATGGAGCAGTTCTTGTTGACACATCAGCGCTGGGCACGGCTGCTTGAGGTCCTCAAGATTTGCCTTATCAAGAACATGAAAAGGTTTTGGTTGGTCGGCTGGATGCATGGTGCAAAGTTTTCCTCTTCGTCCCGTTGCCACCACTTTCTCCCATTGAACCAAAGCACATCCTGCGTTGGGAGGGACCCCCATGGGCACTGAACGCAGCGCCGCACGTGGCACTCTTTGTTGGCGGACTTTTTGCACTTATTTCTGAGTAGTTCCGCACGGAGGGCGGGTCAGCTCGAAGCAGAACATTGGGCT